AAGTTTGTTGTGCTTTAGTTTGGGCTACGCGAAGACTCAGACAGTACATGTTGTATCACACCACTTGGTTGATTTCCAAGTTAGATCCATTAAAGTATATGATGAGTGTGTCTGCTCTCTCTGAAAGGTTAGCCCGATGGCAGATGTTGTTATCCAAATTTGACATCAAGTATGTGAGCTAAAAACCCATAAAGGGAAGTGCCATATCGGATTTCTTGGAAAGCAGAACTGCTGAAAATTATGAGTCATTGAACTTTGACTTCCCAGACGAAAACTTGATGGCCATGTCCTTAGAAGAAGCAAGTACTTCCACAAACAATTCATGGAGAATGCATTTTGATTGTGCATCAAATGTATTAGGACATGACATTGGGGTCCTACTGGTCTCCCTAGAAGGGAATCATTAACCATTCACTAGCAGATTGAATTTTGATTGCACCAACAACATGGTAGAATATGAGGCTTGTGTTTTGGGGATTCGAGCTGCAATGGGACAAAATATAAAGACCTTACGGGTATATAGAGATTCGGCCTTAGTAATTTATCAGCTCCGTGGAGAATGGGAAACCAAGGATTTAAAGCTGGTGGAGTATAGGAAACTAATATTGGATCTACTCGAAGAATTCGATGAAGTCACCTTCCATTATGTACCCAGAGAAGAAAATCAAATGGCTGATGCTTTATCTACCTTGGCAACTGTATTCAAGGCTGGTGGGGAGTCTAATATGATGTCAAATGACATGCAATCGTATGAGTACTCTGCTCATTGTTACCAAATCGAGGAAGTAAAGGACACTAAGCCCTGGTTCCATGACATTTTGCAATACATCAAGAATCGAAGTTATCTAGAGGAAGCCACTAAAACTGATAAAAGAACCATTAGAAGGATGACAACTGGATATGCCCTTGATGGGGTGATCTGATACAAGAAAAGCCACGATCAAGTCCTATTGAGATGTGTAGATGTAGAAGAGGCAAAGATGATAGTAGAAGAAGTACATGACAGAGTTTATGGAACGCATGCGAATGGACATATAATGTCGAGTCAAATAATGAGATGTGGATATTTTTTGTCCACATTGGAAAGTGACTACATCAATTATGCTAGAAGATGTCATAAACGTCAAATCTACGGGGATAAAATAAATGTTCCACCTCAACCTCTTAATGTGATGACATCAACATGGCCTTTCTCTATGTGGGGTATGGATGTTATCGGGAAAATCCATCCGAATGCTTTAAATGGTCACCAGTTCATTCTTCTGACAATCGAATATTTCACAAAATGGGTAGAGGCTGCATCATATGCCAGTTTCAATTGGTAATTTTTTGAAGAAAGAGATCATATGTCGGTATGGTTTACCCGAAAGAATTATTACTGGCAATGCTACAAACTTGAACAATAAGATGATGGATGCTTCTTGTGAACAGTTCAACATAAAACATCACAACTCTACTGCTTATAGACCAAAGATGAATAAAGCAGTAGAAGCATCAAACAAAAACATCAAGAAGATAGTGGAGAAAACAATTGAGACATTCAAGGATTGGCACTAGAAATTGCCTTTTGCTTTATTTGCTTATCGAACCTTGGTACAAACTTAAACTGGGGCAACCCCATTCTCATTAGCATACAGGATGGAAGAAGTGTTGCCCATCGAGGTAGAAATTTCATCACTTCGTGTCTTGAAAGAAGTTAAACTAGATGATGCAGAATGAGTACAAACCCGATATGATCAGTTGAACCTAATAGAGGAAAAGAGATTGAAAGCCATTCATCATGGTCAACTCTACCATAAACGAATGATTCGGGCATATAATAAGAAGGTGCGCCTAAGAGTATTCCGTGAAGGAGATCTTGTGCTAAAAAGAATTTGGTCAATTCAAAAAGACTTTAGAGGAAAATGGATGCCAAATTGGGAATGACCTTATGTCGTGAAAAAGGCATTCTCCGGAGGACACTTATCCTGACTGAAATGGATGGGCCGGAACTATCTTATCCCGTTAATTCGAATGCAGTCAAGAAATATTTCGCTTAGGATGAAAACCCGAGAGGGCGTCCTAAGTAAAAAAAAATTTAGGGTGAAAACCCGAAAGGGCGCCCTAAATTGAAAAAAGAAAAAAGAAAAAATTTTGGAAGAAAATGAAAAAGCAAAAAGAAAAAGAAAATAAGGTGGGTTCAAGATGAAAATCTGTAAAGGGCGTCTTGAAACCAAGGATGAGTCCAAGTTAAAAACACAAAAAGGTGATTTGGACAATGATTCAGAAAAGATCCCAAATCAAGATAGTAAAGCGTCTCGACACCCAAATCTCCTACAGACTTGATAATTCGGAGAAATGCTGCACTCTACCGAATATTGTCGTATTCTCGAAGTTCCCTTGACAAAGGTTGTACTCAAAAATCACCTGAAAGCGTATGAGTTCGGAAGCGCCCGTATTATTGAGATTTAAGGCCTCTACTTATACTTCTTTTATGTATTGACCTTTCAAAATGTTTGTCATGTACTGTTTGTTCTTTTCCCACTTATAAATAAAGACAACCATTTATCTAAATCAATTTCTTTTAAGCATCATGGGTTGAATTTAAACCTAATGATTTATTCACTTTTGAAAAAGATAATTGCATATTACTGTACAAAGATTTTTTTTTGAAAAATACAGATGCTCGGAAGCTGATCGAAGCTTAGGCAACATACTTAAGATGGTTGAAAGCCACTTCCCAAACCAAGAATAAAAAACCACATTCTATACATCGAATTTAAGCATGTTGAAGAATCCAAGATAAAAAATCAAAAAATTCATATTCCAGAGTTAAGAGTCATCAAGACTGACAACCAGAGATTGAGATTTCTCTCCAAATCCTAAAATAACATAATTCACATATGCATTTTAGGCACACATAAGAGCATTTCATGCATAAGCGTCGCATATATGCATAATTTTGCATATTCTTGTTAGAGTCAATTTCAACTTCACAACGAATGATATTGAACTCAAAGTGATCAATTTACAAGATGGGATTTCAACTTCACAACGAAGGATATCCAATTCAAAGCTCAACTTCACAAAGAAGGAGCCCTCTACGATTTTAACTTCACAAAGAAGGATATAGTTTCCAATAAATCGACTTAATTTCACATCAAATGAGTCATCTGCAACAACAAAGGTCTATCTCCCAACCCAGTACAGCATAGCCCAAGGCGAGAAGGGTTATCTGTCAACAAGAGCTTTCAAGTTCGATTCCATTCAACTCGAGGGTGTATTTACCGCAAGGTAGCATCGAGGAACTACTTTCCGGTTTAGTTTCAATACCAAGGTCTTTAAATAAAGAAGAAGACCAAGGTTGACAAAGATTGACAACAAAAAGTTGCTTTCCAGTTCGAAGCTCAACTTCACAACGAAGAGAGCCACCTACAATTTCGACTTCAAAATGAAGGATATAGTACCCAAAAGATTGACCCAACTTCACAAAAAATGAGTCATCTATAACATAACAATAAAAAACCAATTTCATACCAAAGTCTTCAGGTCAAGTTTCAGCTTTACGACGAAGTATTTTGGAATAGAAGACGATTCATGAGCTACTTTGAGTTTGATTTCAACTTCACAAGGAAGGATATCGTGCTCAGGATTCTCCAGTTCAACTCAACCTCACGACGAGAGAGACATCTATAATTCAGTCCAAATTGGACATAACAAATCAATCATAACATCAGATTTTAACTCTACGATAGAGGATATTCGACAAGATGGGAATCAATTCTCGTAACAGAGGACGTTAAATGATACATTCATAATGGACGAAATTTGTGTCTTTTAATATTTTTCCTATTTTTGTTACACAATAATGGGCAAAGAGGGGCAGCTGTAGACACATAATTTCGTCCGACCAGATTTATATTATATTATAATGTTCATATTGCTTATGTGCTTATTTATACTATATAGTATATTTATATTTCATATATATCATAGGGTATATTCATTATAATATAATATATTTATATTTATAATTTATTTTATTGCATGTGTCAGGTCCAACAATGAATTAAAAATAATGCCCGACCCAGCAATACACTCAAACCCAACATTAGCAGAATCGGATCTTGGAGCGACTCGAACCGGTCTAGTCTTCAACCCGAATTAGTTTGGGTTTTAAAACCCTAACTCTTTACTCACGCCGCATGACGTCGACCATCAGATCAACAGGCCATCTGAGGGTCAGGGTGGCTTGGAGAGTTTTCATCCCAGCCACAACTCACCACTCGGCCAACAACCCGTCTTTCTCGGCCATCGGCGACGTGGTTTCATGGGACTCACCAACAAACAACAAACAAGCAAGTATTTTAGTCCAAGTAAAACTATAGGAAAAAAATGAAGTAAAAATAGATTTCCATGATTATAAATACGCATGTAAACAGTGAGAAAAATTCAAGAAAAATCGGAGAGAAATACACAAATCGAAGCACTTGTAACGTCTCGGAAAGAAATAAAATGGTAAAGTTCATGCCTTTCTCGGTTTTGATACTTGCATGTGGGTTGTTTGGTTTTTTCCCTTGCTTTTGATTCGAAAAACCCAAAAAGGGAAGGTTTAAGCCGATGAATGGGGGAGGGTTTCGAGAACTTTCTTCTCCAATCTAGCCGACTTGTAATTTTCTCAATTAAGACAACTGAAAATTAATTAGTACCAAAAGAGCAGTTCAAGGGTGTTAATCATTCTTTGACTGTAACCGACTCTCGAATCTGACATATCTTTAGAAAGATGCAAATCATATAAGAAATCAAGGTATCCAATCAACCTTTTTTTCTTAAAATAAATGATCAATGACAATTCTAATCTACTTATTTAAGTCGAAGCCTAATTCCGGACCTATCCTATAAATAGTTGGGACAACAATAAAACATCCTAGTTCGGTACTATTAAGCTTTTTATGCTTGAATTTATTGGCGAGGAGACTGGGTTGACAAATAACGTGTATATATTATTTCCCTTGTCTTTATTCTCGTTCTCCTTTCGTTTCGTTCGTGTTTCTTCCTCGTTTTGCAGGAGTGCAAGCCGTCACTAAATAATTGATTCTCTGAGCTCTGTTTTCGTTATTTGTCTCCTTCATGCAGATTTCCATCTTTATTTTGCTTTGCACGGGAAATTAAACGTTGCCCAATCTTTCCACAATAAATTCTAAGGTAATACTCAAATCTAACCGTATAATTAAATTTCTCTATTTATTTGATGTCTGGTTTCGATTTTAATGTAGCTAGGTTTTTAGGGTTTGTTTAATTTTTGCGTGGCGTTTCGGATTCTCTGGCTGGATTTAACCTTTTGGAAAAAAATCTTATCCCGAATTTCAGTTGAATTTCCCCCTAATTTATAATTATTCGAAGATTGCAATGAATTGAACTAGGTTTTAGTCAAAAGAAAGAAGAAAAACCCGTAACCCCCCCCCCCAAATAGCATCAATCTCTTATTATTGGCAGCCAACGTAATAGGTTGTTCCTTTAGTGATTTGTCATGTTAGCATAATGCAGAGATATGTTTTATTGCAGGTAGTCGGCTTCATGGAACCGAATTTAGAGACTTCACCGCCCGATAGTTCTGATGCAAAAGCAGCATTTTGTAAGTCTTCTAATGATACATCTAACCGACGGTATAGGCATCGCACTCCAGTTAGCGGGTTATCTTCATCTGAAGGTTTGATTGTTAATTTTTGTCCTAAGTTCTTGTTGGTTCTTCGGGAAACTTGAACATAATTTGGGTTGAACTTGTACCTTGGCACTCAAAACACAATAGTGTTCAGTGGAATGAAAATGCATTTAGCTTAAAAAATTAGGGTGTTTGGTTGGTTTAGAAAGGAAACCTCAGCTGAAGGCACAATAAGATTATGAAGAAAGATAAAGAAAGGAAAATGGATTAAATCTACCTTTTGGTCTGGGCTATGAACAGGACATTTGGACAGTGATTCAAGATTAGGTTGAAACTTGAAGGATGTTTTCTTTTGGATTAGGTTAGATTAAAATTTGAAGGATGCTTTCTTTTGGAATTTGGTTTGGGTCTGATTTAGTCTAGGATCTAAAGGGAGTGGATGGTTCAAATTGAACGCCTAAGAAGAATAATTACTAGAATTCTCCTCACACAAGCATAAACTAAGACTTGATCATAAAAACTTTGTTGCTTTGGCTATTCATTTTCTCTTGAATTACCCGTATCCGATATATGTATCTGGCATGACTATGGGGATACGACCCTCCCAAGATCCTCCAAATGCATTGGAAGACTTGGAGAAAAATTTTAACACACCTATGCTCGACACATACCATCTCTGACACTTAAAAGTCCAAGTAACATAGAGAAAAACAATTAACCAATACTCTCCTTAATGCTATAATACACCTCATTGGATTTGGAGCATAAGATTGGTAGGCAACAATATTCCTTGTGTCTACAATAATGACCTAAATTTGCCGAACATCAAGCCTACCCTTCTGTTGTCAATTTATTACTCTGATCAATGTCTAGTTATGTTTGCATGAAGCAAATGATTTGACATGATTACTTATAACTAAATAGAGAATAGTCTTTCAGAAGTGCTTTCGATATTATTTTGTCTTTGCTTCTGGTTATATGTTGCTTGATTCAGAATTTGGGATGTGCAAATCTTTGGTTGTTACTCTGAATATTTTGGTTGATCTATTTACTTACGATGATACAAATCCCCGAAGTTTAGATATATGAGGAAGCTTTGTTTCGATTGATTTTGCATGCATGATTGCTATTTGTATGTAAGTAATAACTTTTAGAACAAATTTAGAGCCTTTTCCTCATAGCAAATCTTGACTAATTTATGGTATACAGAGCTTGGCTTACTGTTGGACTAAATAAACATTTAACACATTAAGCTTCAATTTTAAGAGGTCAAATATCTTTATTCCTTTAAGCAATTGCACTTATGAGTTATGACAATTAACATGACAAAAAATTTGTAAGGTTCCTCTTCTCCTCCAACTTGGATCTTGAAAGATTGATTCATACACAGTGTCACATTTCTAAGATTCCATTTCTGATTGTGATGTTTACAGGAAGTTCTCCTCGGCGTGACCGGAGCGTTAGTCCCATGGTTTCTAGGGATGATCCGGAAAAAAGTGCTGATACTCGACCAGGAAGAGATGGGAGAGAACTAGATAGGGATTCTACTAGGAATCGATATAGTAGAAATGGTGATTCTTATAGATATTCTAATCAACAGCCTTCCAGGAGCTCTTATGGTTCCAGGCATGACAAGCATGGAAATGAAGATAGAAAGTATGATAGATTTTCCTCTCATTCTGATCGAAAATCAAGAATTATCGCTCATTCTGATCATCCAAGACAAGTGAAGTCGAAACTCTTTAGCTTGGGTAAGGGCTCTGATTATGTTAAGTATGGTAATTATTTTGTGACTTTCTTCTTCTAATGGTTGATTGTTTTATTACTTTGTGATTAGTTTCTCTGTCTTCTTTTACTATAGGTGATGAAAAGCGGTCAAGTTTGGAGCAAGCTGAGGAGACTGTTGAAAGAGTGGCCATTGGTCACGTTCATAGCAGTGATATTGACATCACTAATGACGTGAATGCTGCAAAAGTTGCTGCAATGAAAGCTGCTGAATTAGGTATTCTTATTGGAACTTTTTCGGCTTTCTCTTTCTCCCTCATATTTGAACTTCTACTCGAATGCATTAGTGAACAATCCATTTAAAATTTATGTTTCCTTCAAATTTTAAGCGTTGAAAATTGAAATAGCTGTAATATTGCATGGAAATGAGATCAATAGCTCTTATTAATTAATTTGAAGCTGAGGTTTACAAAGAACATATGATACCATGTGATGCATTATTCTAATTTGAAGCTGAGTCCTTTTTATCATTTCCATCCATTCAACCATGATAGCACTATTTCAAATTAGTAATTAAGCTAGGTATGTTTGGCGTCCAAAAACACTTTTTGACAGCAAAAGCAATGCCAAACAAAGGGCTTTTTCTATGTAAAACTTCTTTTAAAAGTGGTTTTAAAACCAAACAAAGAAGCTGGCTTCTAGGGCTTTTCAAAATTACTTTTCAACCAAATATTTTGAAATTCACTTTTCAACTGTACCGTAACAACAAATGCTTAACCAGCCTAAGTCATTTGTTCCTGCTATTGGAACAGTAAAGGCTGGCAGCTCCATTAAAGCTTATTTCTCACACTGCATTCAGGCGGTATCTGATTATTATCAATGTAGTTAATAGGAACCTTAGTGGCGCAGGCCATAGTAATATGACTACGGAGCAGAAGAAGAAATTGCTGTGGGGGAGAAAGAAAAGCATTCCTGCAGAAGAGGTATTGCTGCTGAATTAGCTAAAATTTTCAAGATTTAAGGAACTTGTTGCATTGAACATAAACTGCTTTTTGTATCTATATATTTGGTTGATGGCAGTCTGGTCATCGCTGGGATACTGCACTATTTGGAGATCGTGAGCGACAAGTGATGTTCAATAAACTCATGGTAAAATCCCTTTTTACATTTCTATGCCTTTGTTGTTTTTCTCTGAGCAACTTGTTTGCCTTACAAGTCAGCCATTCGAACTATGTTTGAACAAACTATCACATTTGCTATGACAGATTCACTCCATTAGAGTTTCTTCACATTACTAATAGGTGAAGAGCAAAACTCAACTCGACTCGAAAAACAGATTTTTTCAACTTGACTCGATTAGAAAAACTCGACTCGAAATGACTTCCGAGTTGTATTTTCATAAACTCGACTCGATTTGAAAAAATTTCAAGTTCAAATCGAGTTGTATTTTACAACACAAACAACTCGAATTTTTTAGTAATTAGTGGATGAATTTTCAAGTTTGAGTTGAACCCCTCAATTATGTATAATATATGTATATCACATATGAAAGAAAAATATATGTATTGTATTTCTTTTATCAAAAGTCACAAGAATTAATTGTTGTATTATACATGATCATAAAAAACCATTTAAATTGAAATCAAATAATATTATAAATATTTAAATAAAAATTTGAAAATTTGACTAGACTAGACTCGACTCGAAATTTTTTTTATGTCAACTCCGAGTTGTGAAATAAAAACTCGTCAACTTGAGTAACTCGAAATTTTTTAACTCGAATCGATCGAAAGTTCATTCCTAATTACTAATACTGATATAAAGTCTGAGGTTGCCTATGGCCAATTGTAGGGTGTGAAAGGGGATACGAAGGTAGAGCATAAAGCCGATGATCAAGACGCAGAGAAGCAGTGTGAACTCCAGCTCCATTTGGAGCAGTACACTGCCGGACTTCGACGGAGAGATGGCCGCACTGTTGGATTAGGGCTTTAAGCTTCAAAATTCAAAACGTATGGTGCTGCAAAGGGGATTGCTTTGTGACATTCTGTTCTACTTATTCTGTACTCGTCATTATACATATTATGAAGAAAAATGTGCTTTGTTGGATGTTTTTGGTCTTAACCTTTTTGCTTTTCAATGTTATGAATAGTATCTGTTTAATCCTATGGTGTCTGGTGTCGTGTGTAAGGGTATGTTTTATTGTAATTGGTTTTCTGGAAAATAAAAATTATGAAAAATGAATTACAATTCTTGGACAAGATTTTGGAAAGTATTTTTGGGATGTTCGAAATTCATTTTCCTCTATTTGGTAATCTTTGTTGAAAATGTTTTCTAAAATTATTTGATATAAACGCATATTGTAATTTTTTATTTTTTTAAATTGAATTAACTTTAATGTTAATTTTTTTTACACTTTTTTTATAAATTACAAAATTTTATTTTTGTAAGTACATCAAATTAAAATTTAATGTCACTCATTCTTTTATATGAATTTAGATAATAAGAATAATTTATGCGGACTGTATTTTAAATATATTATAAATATATTATTTTAGATTTAAAAGTTTCCATGATTCTTATTCAATGATATTTTTAACATTTATCTTCATATTTATCTTAAAAATGTTTATATAATATTTAACATTTATCTTCATATTTGAACTTCTAGTTAAATTTTTATATTTGGGTTGAATTGATATAATCTTAAAAAATTAAAATATGTTTGATTCATACCTACATCAAAAAGGTAGAAGTGTCGATATTAATTAGAATTATATAATATTAAATAATGTCATTCTAATTGTATAAAATATTACACTACATTATCTACGTAGGTTGGTTCAAGTGGTAACTAGCTTGATATCGCTTAAGCAAGATATCAGGTTTGAATCATTGTGTATGAGAAAATCTTCGCTGGGAGAGTCATCCTCCAAAGCCAGGCGTGCGACCCGAGTCATTTCAGATTAGTTAAGGGGAAACCTTAAAATTAGAGGACAATAAAAAAAACTACGCTACATTAACACATTAATAATATTCATGTGCATAATTAGTACTACACTTTAAAACAGGCGATTTTCTCGATATATCACCGGTGACTGGTAATATTACCGATCTAACACTGCTCAGACTATATTTTTCGATCTAACACCCTTAGCAGTAAAGCGCGCCCCCTGCACCGCGCTATACGATGATTTGACGCCACGTGGGGTATAGTGCGCCCCCTGCACCGCGTTATACGGTGAGCTAGCGCCATGTGGGTATAGCGCGGCCCCTGCAGCGTGCTATACGCCACGTAGGGGTATAGCGCGGATCAGGTACCGCGCTATACCTTTACTGCATAATTTTATATAGCGTGGGGCAGGTACCGCGACATACCTTTACTCCTGACATAATTTTATATAGCGCGGGGCAGGTATCGCGTTTTGTATAACTTTCCTCGCTATAAATACCATTCTCCGCTGGTTAATTTCTCACATCTCTCCTATCAACTTATAAATTAATATAACAATTCCGTCAACGAGTCAATAATTCTGGCAATCTTCTCATATTTTATTTAGAAGTTCGTGCGATTTTTCGTTATAAGGTAATTTTGTTATAATTTTTATTATATTTATTGTTTATTATGATTATTTGAAAAAAATATTATACTAATTATTTTCAATTAATTTTTGTGTTTGTAAAATTGGAAAGCGGGAGCATACGTCGAAATAGTTTTGCGGTGCAGGTAATAATATTAAATTATATTTTTTAATTTATTTACGTTGATGTATAAAAATTTTATTGTGTTATATGTTCGTTCATATATAATTTATTAAATCAGGTTTGTTTCATTTATTTTTTTTCCAGATATAATAGTGTCGCACTTTTAAACTCAAATAATGGCGCGACTTTCAGCTATTGTTTATTATGATGGTGAAATTCGAGAAGATGAAACCGACATTGTTTTCGTATCAAATGAGCGTGTTAAAATATCATTCAAGAGAAACATAACTCTTGAGGAGCTGATAATGAAGATTTCGAGGAAGATTCATGTTGGAAGTAGTAGAAGAGTGTCGTCGTTGCAGTATAGATTTCCAACATCATTGTTGCCATTAACTTATACAGCGCTCGAACTTTCGAACAATGATGATGTTGAAATGATGGTCGAAGCTCAAAGTAATTATTCAGACGCCGCTATTGAGATGTATGCATATTTTGTTCAAGTGCGTGCTGTTCGGGGTCAATCATTAAGCTCCCACTATGGGCTGACTGAACAAGTTGATCAAGTTGACAGCCCGACGACAGTAATGTGTAATGATTTTAATGCCATAATGGGGAGACATTCATCCATAACTCCTTACGATATGTACCGAGGTAGGTCGACGAACAATCCGTATGGCAACATCGCGTCCAGTTCAAGGGGAAGGCATTCATCTGCAAATCCCTTTGACCTTAATATGGAGATGCCATCGACGCAACCATCTGTGCAGTTTCCATTTGACGCGATGGCTTCAAGCTCTAGGGGGAGGCATTCGACTGTGAGTTTTTTCGATCTCAATGTCGATATGCCTTCTAGTTCAAGGGAAAGGTGTGCAAGTAGTAGGTTCTTCGACCTAAATGTGGAGAGCATGGAGGAACCATCATCTCCACCAGAAGAACTGCTTCGTGAGCCTGGTGCGGATGGTGCTGAGACTGGATTATTCATTGACCCAGAATCACCGCAATTCAACTCCTATGATGATGAAGTTCCAGGAAATATGGCACAAACTGACCCTCCTGCACACATGTATGAAGCTGATTATGGTGCAATGTACGGGCCAGAATTTGCGGATATGCCTCATCTCGGTGACTATGGGTATTACTCATCAATAAATAATGGTTAGTTATCTTTAGGCATAGAGTTTTCAAGAAAAGAAGAAGCGATGATGGCTATCAAAAATTACAATATCCGTAATTATGTTCAGTCCAGAGTAGACCGCTCTACGACCGAAAAATATGTATGCTACTATGCCCAGGGCGAAAACGGATGCAATTGGATGGTTTGCGTATCGAAGAGGAAGAGGAAAAACAACAGATGGGAACTAACAGTATACAATGGTCCTCACACATGTTGTGCTGGAGGGGTCAACCAAGATCATCCCAACTTGGACTCTGAAGTGATATGCCAAGCCATCATGCCCATGGTCAAAGCAAGCTCTCATATAGCTGTTGCAATGTTGATTTCAGCTATACAATCGCAGTATGGGTACACTGTCTCCTATAAAAAAGCTTGGTTGGCAAAACAAAATGCCATTGTCAAACTTCATGGCGAATGGGATACATCTTACAACGAACTTCCAGGTTGGTTTAGGCTGGTGCGAACGTTGAATCATGGGACAATTGTGGACTTCGAAACCTCCTATGCAAACCATAATGATCGAGTTCTTCGCAATCGATGCCAATTCTACCGGGTTTTTTGGAGTTACCCACAGTGCGTTAATGCTGTCAAATACTGCAAGCCTGTATTCCAGATCGACGGGACTTTCTTGTATGGAAAATATAAGCAAGTTTTATTATTGGCAGTTGTCCAAGATGGGAATCGCAACATTCTTCCAGTTGTTTTGCTCTTGTCAAAGGAGAAGATACAGATTCTTGGGTTTTTTTCCTCCGAAATTTACGGGCACATGTTATCACGAGGGAAAACATCTGTGTCATTTCAGATCGCGGAGCTGGGATCAAAGCAGCAATGGAGTCTTTGGGTCCAATGTGGCAACCACCCTTTGTCCAACATAGGTATTGTCTTCGACACATTGCCGCGAACTACCATGGAAGGTACAAGAAGAATGATGAGCGTCAATTAATTGTGCGCATGGGTAAGTGAAACTTAGCAAGTTTGTATTCTTTCAATCGTTTTAATTTTGCAAAGACAGAAAGTTAGTAAGTTATATATTTTTTGATCAGGTTACGAACTACTTCCTCGAATGTTTAAATCAATGTTTCAAGAGTTGCGGGCGAAGAACGAGGAAGGATATGATTACATCAGCCTTATCGATAAAGAAATATGGACGAACGCATATGATGGTGGATATCGATATGGACACATGTCGACCAACTTGGCAGAGGCAATCAATTCAACCTTAAAGGGTGCACGTCACTTACCAGTAGCGGCTTTGGTAAAGACTATATATTTTTATTTGGGGGCGCTTTTTGCGTAGCTCGGGGGACAAGCTCAAACCTGGATGCAAGGCGGTCATGTCTATCACCCTAAATTAGTTGCAGATCTACAAAAAAAAATTTCTGCATCAAATGGAATGTCTGTAACAAGCTTCTCTAGAAGGCATGAAATGTTTCGTGTCACAGAGTTGCTGCGACCTCTTCAAGGGATTGAAGCTGTGTCGTTAAGAGAAAATCTAAGGGACAGAACGTGCGACTGCGGGTTTTTTCAAGCTCTGAAGTATCCATGCTCTCATGTGATAGCAGCTTGCTCGCATACACGTCAAGACTATAACCATTTTGTGGATCCCGTATACTTACTATCTGATGTTTTTAAGGTATACGAATTTGAGTTTCCCCCATAGGTAATGAAGAAGACCCTGATAAGGTTCAAGATTGGCTTCTGATTGTACCAAGTCTGAGTTTATTGAGGGAGCGTGGTCGTCCAAAATCCAATCGAATTCATTACGATATGATATTAGAGAAATATCCAGACAATATAGAAGATGTGGGCATTGTAGAAACCCAGGACACACTAGGAAAACATGTCCACTTCTGTTGTCATCAAGTAATAATTGATGAGGAAATGATGTATTTTATTATCAAATAATAATTTTTCTACTTTAATTTGCATTTACTTCAAGTTAATGTCATTTGATAATCACCGATGAAGATTAAAAAAACAAACACAATCATTAAATTTTAACAAACTAATAACAATAAGTATTAAATGGTAAATGATAACCAAATTACAATAACTGATATTAAATGGTAATAAAAAATGAACTGAAATACATTAAAAAAGTCCAACAAATTTAACAAAATAAAGTAAGTATTAAATGAGAAATAATAAAAAAATTACAATTTAACAAAATAAAGTAAATACAAATATAATAAAAAACAAAACTATCGATGCTTGCGACGCGAATGTGTTCCGCAGGGCGGTGGTTGTCGGTCTCGAGGAGGATTTCTTCGTATCACTGGTTCTGACTCCTCGCTGTCATCAT